AACCACTTCCACAACTTCCGACACCGGAACTGCTGTCATTCGCCTGATCAACCATTACAGCACCGCTCAGCGTACACGCAATCGGACGCTACAAACCAACAGTCAATCAAAGGTTAGTTAGGTACCTATTATAAAACCTATTTCGTTTTTTTACACAAATAATCTTTCTATATATATATATTAGAGTATAAGGATATAATTAGGTGTACTTATAAAATTAGAAAAATGGTATGTTACGACTGTTACGTGTAAGGAAACGCGTGTTATAACTCGCTAAAATGACGATACATCAACTCAAACCAGGGTATTCACTAGATTTTTAAATTTTTTCCATCTGTCTCTAGTTGTCCTCTGCAGCTTCTCTCCTTCTGATTCCTGGATCTAACGTTTTTAAGTCCTTTTTACACAGTCTTCCCACCTCAACCTGGGTCTTCCTAAAGGTCTTTTACCTATTGGATCTTCCTCAATTACYTGTCTAACTAGCTAGAGATCCTTGCTTAGATTTTCAAATAAGGTTRTAAATTGTTAATGATTTTCTAGTGAACGGATTAAACTAAAATTTAACCAACTATTATACTATAATAACATGATAAGAATTGTTTTCAAAWAGTTTCTAGTCTCGGTATAAACGAGACTTACTCTAAAACACTATTATGCGGACAACCTTATCAGTTGTCTGCAAGTATCTACTGGAGAAATACTAGATTTTTTTAGAACGAGTGAAGCTTATATTTCAACTATGTTAATACAATTATGTAGATAATTAGGGGGTTACAGTTTTTCCGTATACAATTTGGTAGGCAAGACTTCTGGCAAATGAAAATATTTATTATAAATTTAACTTGTTAGTTTTGATATTTTAATTGAACATTTTCACTTTCAGAGTATTTAAGTAAAGTAAATCACTTCAGATAAATTTGAACGAATCCGTAATTTTTAAAATACATAAATATAATGTTTTATGTATAGATCATTTTTAGATGGTTATGATTTGATCTATTTTTAGTCGATAAATATTTTTACAATGATTAATGAGTATTATTATATTTGTCAGAATTCTAATTTACAAATCTTCATATTTTTTTGGAAATAAACATAATACATTATTAGTGGTTAGTAGTTATTAGTTTTCAATATTATAACATATATGTTTTTAAAGGTATAAATTATATTTGGGTATTTTAATAACTAAGTATTATAAAGTAATTTACTTATAATATATTGATCTAAAAGTTTAATATGGTTTATACACTGAAAGTKAATAGCTTAGTTGGTACATTTGTTATTCATAAATAAGTAATAACAACACTGAGCCCACTTACCAGATAATCCTGAGTCCTGACCAAATAATTTCTAAAATATCCATTAACACTTTTTAAATTAAAACTCCGTTCTTTTTATATGAAAATGTTGTCTCATTTTTGTTAATCTTTTATAACAAATTTTTAAATATGCCTATTTATTTTAATTAATATATTACCCGTGGAGTTTTGATTCATTCTTTACATAATATATTATATAGTTTTTTCTCCAAAAATATTTTTTATGTAATTTATTATTTGTCGGTACCTACCTATTTTCAAGATATTTTTATTAAAGCAAATACCATTATTATCATAYCAAAATTATTGTAGGCAGTAGGAACCTATGCATCTACGAATAAGTATTAATAGCAGAAAAAATGTATGAAATCCATATATATTTAGAACTAATCAATATATGCAGTTATTATATATGAGTGAAAAAAATTGTGAAACATAAAAAATTATTAATTATTTATATAATGAAAAATATTTGTGTTGTTAGTTATGTTTTTAACTTTTATTTAAAAAAATATCTTCTAGAGGCTATAAGTTCCTAGTTCTAAAGTTAAATTTCGATGTTAGGTACGTATCTTAAGTTGAAAATAGTGACTTTTTTGATAATCAAGTGTGAAAATACACAAATTGTTATATCAACACAATAAAAATTGAATTTCATATATTTYGCGTTTCACTTCACGTAACCTTTATAGAATCCTTTTTTAAATTCATTAACATATGGTATTTGTCTGTATAATAGACTATATAAGCCATTTTCTAGTTGCAAACTTACAGTTGCTACCTTATACACATATATCTATAACCAGTAAACCCTATATTATGAGTTATGACTATATGAATAAATCTAGACTGGTGAATAATTTCTTAATAAGTTTTTTTAATTTGTTAAGAATACGTGAAATATTAACATTTATAATTCTTAACCTGATTGTTGAGGACTGAGTTCATCTATTTACTGATTAAAAAATGTTGGGTGTAGGAAAAAAGAAACCATACAATTAATGGGAAGCCGCGTAACTATATATATTATCAGCCGTATCACCATAAATTAATTGATTTAACTACGTAAATATATATATAAATATTTTTTAGGTGAGTAGGTATGTTTAACTTGGAGACAACTTTCTTGAATACATTTTTGATGTGAGGATTCATAACATCTATTGAATGCATTTACGTCTCTTGGTCTCTTGCATTTTAATGAAACMATATTCTTAGGTTGTTCATTTTATTTACGATTTTAGAATAATTAGCGATTAACATTTTGCAAACACATTTTTCTTACTAGGGAAATAATAATAATTAGAAAAACATGTTATTAGTTTTTAAATTCATATGTTAAGAGTAATTATAATGTTCATATGGACCACAACAGACGTTTGATTACAAAAATACAAACCAATTGAATTTATAGACGATTATCGACCATTATTCCTTGAAGGTATTATTCAGCCATCTTGAAATACCACTTAATAATCGTAGTAAATAGTAATAAATAGTAATTGACAATCGTAAACAAATGCAACATCTCCCTAAGAAATAAATATGTACATTGTTTCTATTATTTTAGATTTTCCTTTGACGCCTGATGCTTGTTGAATTTTTAATGGTTCCCGCAACAAGTTACAAGTACAACACGTTTGTATAATATAACATTATTTATTACCTTTATGGGAAATCGTCTAGAGTCTTGACCATTAATGGTATTAGCCTACCAACGAAGAGAAATATAATAGATTYGGGTTAAATATTACAAGTGCAAAAACTTTATTTGATCAGATTTAAGATCGTGGCAACCCGCAGTGTAYGAGATATTCCCTAGAGGTTTTTAAAAACTTACAAAGCACGTACGATGGTGTCACCGTCAACACGTTCGTTGGTTTGGGGTGATTTGAACTATAAATGTCTCAGAGAAGTGAAATTTGTCATGCATATATTATATTATGTTCTGTATATTACACGACGAGGGACGACATATATTTTTCTTCTAATATCCCGAAGGAACGGTGTGTGGCATGACACCAAATGTTTGGATTACTTTCTGACCCCGTAACTTTTACACAGATCCGTAAAGAGGCTAAGTGATTTTTTTTTATTGTATTCTTTTGGTCAAGTTCAACGTAGTACCTATTTTATTATTGTTTGTTGAAATATAACGTGTTGCTTTAATACTGTATGGTCTGTATCTTTGTTAGTTTTTTGGAAGTTAGGTAAATATATACTTATTTACAAAATGTTTTAATAGTTATATATAATACTGAAGACAGGAATACACTTATATTGACGATATTTTTAATTTTTAATCGAAACCACAATATGGAATGTCTTAATTCTCATCGAAAAGACTTTTTCCTATTTAAAAAAAAAAAAAATGTTTATTTAATTTATTATTACTTTTTTTTATGAATAATTTCAAAATGAGCATAATTTTATCTACATAGGCATTTCCTATAGACCGAATCAATTTTTTCTTCATTTTTTAGGTTAAACAATTAYCGTTATGATTTAAAATAAAAATATCACATTTATACACGATTATATAACAAACGTGAAGAATTGAAGCACATGCCAATGTAATACAGCCCTATAGGACTACGAAAGTTCTTTTGACGACAATAGTATCGGAAACTTGTATTGTTCCTATRATAATATGAATTACGTCATATAAGTTATGTATATTGTACCTATCTTCTTTGTAAAGTTGTTATTTTTTCATCCGACGACCATTATTATTAGTGTTATGATAAGTGTTGTTTTTAAACGACTCGTCGTGTTTGCGTAAGTACACTATTGCACTCATATCGGWCAAATGAATCGTGAAAATCTAGTCCTAAAGTTTATGGGGTAGTGGTACAGGGGTTGTAGTGAGAAACAGTAAATCTAATAATGTGAACTTAGCGCATTGTTTGTGCACGTGCCGGAAAAATGGATGTTGGAAAATTAAACCGGGTCCATATCGCAGAAATCGTGACTTGGCGTAGTCGAACGATTAGTGGGAGGGGGCGACTAGAAGATCACTGCAGCTAAAGTGCTAACTGTCCTCAATATAAACACACGTCAATATAATATAATAATGTATGTTATGTACAGAAGCCAGAAGGTATATCAGCTGATTAAACCACATTAATTGTTATATTATGCTATCCTATATTTATGCGTTTCCACTCAGTAAATATTACGCACATAATACAGTGGAACCTCGATAACTCGAATCGGTTGGGGGCGAAAAAAAATTCRAATTATCGAAAATTCGACGTATAGAGGATCGAGTTATTGAAGTTCCACTATTTATTTCGTACAGAATATAAAAATATACGGATTTTTCAACTATGCAAAAAGTATACTAAAAAAAATATCGATTTATGTATTTATGGAAGTAACAGTGTATAGAACCTACATTAAAACATCGTTTTTTGCAGATTACTATATTAGGTTTYATTTATTATTTTATTTAATACTTACTAAACTATTTGCTATTAACTTGTAAGTCAATAATGAAACATTGGTTGAAAAATGTTTTTAAAATAAAATCTAAAATACTTGTACGATTTAAAATGATAATAGATAGTTTAATAGTAACTATACATTGAATTGTGCAAAGAAAATGATAATTTTAATAATATTGGAATTTTTCAAAWTTTTACAATTYGCATTTGCATTTTTGAATAATACCGTAACAATAAAATATCGTTAGATAATAAATATTGTTATTCTACCTTTGAATATATAATATTGTTTTCAAATAATCACAAAAAATGTATGTAGCTTTACATTTAACTTATTTTTATTT